GAGTATATAGCGCCGAAACCCACTCTCCCAGGACTAACAATGCTGTGGAGCGTCTGAATGAGGAATTGAAGAAAATACTCCTCCCATCTCGCCAGCGTCTCACACTAGCGGACTTGGCTGCTCTATTGGAGGACTCTGCTAAATGGGCGATGGTGTCGCAGTATGGAAGAGAAGAAGTCAGAGGGCAAGCTACCGAAAAAGTGGTTCGAGCTGCTTTAGACCATCACCTAAGAAAATCGTATTGTCAACTGCCAGTCGATTGGGCTACTTGCTATCCTGGAGACGGAGTTCATGATCGGTGGCTGTTTTTAACCGATGCCAGAAATGCTGGTGAGCTATTGGAAGCCGGTGAACGGTCGTTGTACGATGTTATCTCGAGTGATGACGAACCTGAGGCGAGAAGGAGATGCGAGTGTAACTTCACTAGTCTCCGCGAAGCGATGGAGTTGATAAAGACTTACTGTATTGTCACAGTTTCTAGCAAGTCAACCACTAACGGTGATCTGGAGCGTGATATATGGTGCAGTTGCCGACAGTGGGCACTCGAGCTCATTTGCCCCCACGCTCTGTGTCTGAGGTATGTCTTGGGCGAGACACTATCTGCAGAGACCCTGAGGCTGTGGGAAAGAGCCAACTGCTACTTTGACCGTCCCAAATTACGACGACGACGTGATGGCCAGCTGGATGAACATAGACTTCCAGTAAATGTACGATACGGTATCGACAACAACAGGAAGAGCCGAGCAGCAGCATCAAATGAGGGTTCTCTTGCGGAATCAAGATCCGTCATCAATCGAGAAGAGTAAGCGTGAGATAGCCCGGACCCAAGACATTCTTGTATCAACTCAGTACGACTCTCGTACCTGAACAGACACTACGTGCTTCTCCCGTGGAGGAAGAGACTACCAAAGCAATTCCAGTCCACGTACTTGTACAAGCAGATGATATAATTGAAGGTAACAGTCCTCCGTCGATCGGCGCGGAGACAATCAGACTCGGATAATCGTGCACTACGATGTTGCTTCCTTCAGGCGATGACCACAGATACGTTGAGAACAGAGCTGACCTCAACGACCAGGAGAATGGCGCAGTTTCTCGACATCGCGATACGTTGGAACCTGAAGCATCGACAGACTATGACTCAAATGATCATCACGACTTACACCAGACTTCAAGCTCGACAAACGAGGTAGTAACAGACTGCAACAGGCACAAAGAGATTCGCTACTCCAGGTGGATAGATCATCGCTGAGGGAGAATACGGAACTGATTTCCAGCGCCCTAAGAAGACCGAAGCGTCGCAGACGACTCGACTACAACATGCTAGCACGAGACGGGACCCGAAGATATTTAGATTAACCCGAAGATGGTAAGGTCAGCAAACAACCCATAGGATTCGATTTCGAAGGCTATCTACCATAGTTGAATCAACCCAGTCTCCGAAGACCCACGACTCGAAGATGACATCTCTCCCAAATAGTACAGGATTGTAAGTGAATATATCTAGTGCATGCTCAGACTAACTTAGTAGGGCCACAATGTTGAGTTCATATGTAATACTGATGAAGCCGGGACGATACGGGAGGATCGTTCGGAATGATGAACAGCTGCGAGTCTCACAGTGATATTGTGAGATGAGTTGTGCACAATCTGTGCACGCGTGCAGCACGCAATCCGACACGCGCACACATTGCACAATTGTGTCGTAATTCAAGGCCCACAAGCTATGAACTATCTTAGCTGTATTTCACAACTTGAAGTTGCTAGTTGTTACAACTAAGTTGTGAGTAGCAGCTTTGTGTTATAATGAGTCGTTGCAACGTAGCATGATATGTTCAGCATATACCTGGAAATTCCAGGCTGGAATAGAAGTGTGATGCTATTGAATATTAAATCTACACTAGGAGGTTCTGCTGTGGGCAACTATGTATCCTATTTTTGAAGTAGAAACCTCAGTGACCGACGGTAGCGAACTTCAGTTTTCATTGATTGAAGTCTTCAAATGGAAGAGAATATAGGTCAA